TACACATCTTGACATTCAGATGTGTATTTAGATTCAGAAATCTTAATCTATATCTATACTCTATATATACTATATTAAAGCACGAAGCCCCTATCGAATTGTCGGTCGTCTTTTTTACCCTTCGTAAGTGCATTTTATGTTGGATATATTTGTAATTATAATCATTAATTTCTTTTTTTCTTCCCAAAATCAAAAATTGCCGTGTACTTCCTTTTAGGTTTAGAATTCTTTAGAATTTTGGGATTCTTGCCTTACGATTTCTTTTCCTTTAGTTTTGTTTCTTTTAGTTTTAGAATTCTTGCGTTTTTGTTTCCTCTCCTTTTAGGATTCTTTCTTTTTAATGGTATGTCATTTTCCATTGTTTCTTTTGTATCGGTTTAAGATGCATTTTTTTTTTATGTGTAGGTTTAGGATTCAATTTAATATTAGTTTACCGACCGTAGTTTTTGGTAACGTTGTATCTTCACTTTATTTATATTTAGGATCCAATTTAGGTTCCTAGAATTTTAGAACCAAAACAGTTAAAATAAGGAGGAGCTAACCACTTTATAAAAGAAGCCATTAACCTGCATTCTTTATTATAAATTGTTTATAGTATCAATAGGTAAATTTGCTTGTGAACTGAGGTAAATTTTCTACCTTATTCTATATTCTTGAACTTACGTAATAATGATCTTTAATGCATTACTCATAAACAACTGCATATTGAAAGTTTATCAATTGTGATTTAATTTACAATGTCGCATATATGATCAATGGTTTAAAATTGACTCATATAAAAAATATTGTACAGGTTCTTTGGATCATTGCATTCATCACATAAAATTGGTTAGGAATTCTAACTCATATAAATTGAGTATTTTATTAATTTAAGATTATTTTCACTTTGTGTTTGATAGTTTTAATTACTAATTATTATGCCAGCTCAAGTTGCTCATATTTTGTAAGAAAAAATTAAATTTAATTACTTCTTTTAATTGACTATATTTGTTTACCCTCGAATCCGGATAACAATTGAATTTATATGGGGTTTTAAGGATCCGTGAACTAAAAGATACAAAAGGTTTTTAAGTTAAGGAAAATAAAGATAAAGACTCAACAATTGCTGTTAAAGTAAATAATCGCAGAATATAATATTGCTTAGAACAATTGTGCTTGATGATCCACAAGAATTTAGAGAGATCCCCTTTTATACATTCTGATTAAGGGTAAAAATAAGGTAGGTAAATTGATTACATCGTGGATCCCTGTAATTACGCCTTAATGGCCTGAGGTGGTTGAGAAAATCACGTTTGGGCGAGATATCCGGCGACGCTTGGTTATCCGTTACGAGTCCGGCTTCCGACCTTGTGTGTTTCTCCATCCGGTGGTGACTCCTATCGAGCTCTGTAACGGTCTCGAAATGACTCGACCTCGGTTGTAGACGTGGCCGTCGTTCTACCTTGCATCCAGGTCGGGTTCGATGGCCCCGATTTGCTCCGGACCGGACCCAACCCGGTCGGGCTCAAGCAAAAAAGGGTATCACCTAATACAATATTATACAAATCACAATATTATAATTGTGTTCTTAAGAATAGCCCTTGGCTATTGATGTCCTTGCATCTACAAAAAATTTCGACAATTTTTACTGGTTCAGGTAAATAATTTTCCTTATCGATTTCTTAATATTATTTTATTTTATTAGCAATATTGTGATGTCTAATTTATTACGTTCCGAAAAGTATATGGCTTTGTTGCAGTTTAACTATGATATTTCTTTTACCATTTGAGCTTTGAGATTGATGTATTTTTATTATCAGTTTATTTAAACTATATGCTAAGTTAACTGTAACTTTATTTGATAATTACGCCACTCTGAAAAATGAATTTTACTATGCAATAAGGTGTGTTCTTGTATATGTGAACAAAAGCATTTTAATCCTCAATTTTATACTATCTTGCTCAATTATGGTCTCCAAATAAATTCATAAATATAGGAAGTCAAAAATTAAACTCCTATCTCACCAACAAGAAATAATTTATGTTCGTCAATAATACCTTTTCGGGCGGCTGTAGGACGGCTGCCTATAGGTGGTAGGGTAGGGTGGGTGGTACCGCTCAGATTACGGCCAATCTTCCTAACCGCGCGCGGGACGGGCGTATCCCAATGGTGTAACGCCGTCGACTTCTTGGGAAAAAGGAGGAAGATGACTTGAATCTCTTGTTTCGGAGAAATAAGTGGCTCACGAAGAATGGAAAGAAACATTATATTGGGATTTTTTCCTTCCTATACCATATATAAAACCTTATTACCAAAAATATGCATAATTTGTTAATTACCCGCCCAGTCCACACTTTAACTACAATTTATATACCAATCTATAATTAGGCAGATTCTGCCATTTAAAACGCGCGAAAAAAAAGGCACAAAATCTGCGTTTGATTCTTTCCACATTAAATTCGAAATTTGAAACGGAAAGAGATCTGATTGCTGCGTAATTCTCTCTTTCACTACAATTCAAAAACAACGCAGAGCTTCAGAAGCTTCAACAACGCAATACAAATTGTAGAATTCAAAATTGTTCTTCATCGTCCTCAGTACTCAAATTGTCGAACCTATATCTGTTCTTCATCTTTTTTCTCTCAACTACACGAAATCATGTCAAAAATCCCAATAATGCTAAAATTGAATGGGAATTGGGATAACTATGGCAGATTTAGAGATTTTGAAGTTGATGCCATTGTGGTAGATGGGAATGCAGGTTTGTGTAGTTCGAAAATGCTTAGAATTTTAGTTTTATGATATTATCTACAAATTTACTACATATATCTACAATTTGACTACAAGTTCTTTATTTGGTGCAGGAAAAAAATATTTTAATATACAATGTCTCCAGATTGTAGATAAATTGTAGGCAAATTGTAGTTTACTTGTAGTTTGTAGTTAATTTGTAGATAAATTGTAGATAAAATGTAGATATATTGTAGATATATTGTAGATACTATATTTTTAATATTGTAAAATTTTTTTCTTTGTGTTTGTTCTGAAAATGTAGGTGAGGGCTTCAACAGATCATATACATACTGTGTTGGATGGTGTGAAGCGGTACATTGTGTGTCTAGAAAACAAGAAATGTAGTTGTGGCCAATTCCAACTTGAAGAACTTCCATGTGTAAATTGTTTCCAGATTGTAGTTATAATGTAGGTTAAATGTAGTTACTTTGTAGTTTTTGTAAAATAGTGTAGACAATTTGCAGATTAATTGTGGATAACACATTTCTACGATTGGAGTATTTATTTCTTATTTTTTGTTGTGTAATTTATATTCAATTGACAGTTATATACAAATATTACATAGAACTTGGAGGTAAACATCCAAAAATTACCTACAGTTTAAGTACCTAATATAAGAATAACTACAGTGAATGTACAAATTACATACAGTTTAAGTATCTAATATAAGAATAACTACAATTTACCTACAGTTACAGGGCAAACAGGAAACACATCATCCACAATCATGTCTACATTATGTCTACATTTTAGACTACAATTAATCGTGGAATGTTCTACATAAACTACAAACTAACTACAATTACACTACAAACAGTAAATCTAGGTGAGAGCTTCAACAGATCATATCCATTACACTAAATCTACAATTACACTACAATTACACTACAATTACACTACAATTACACTGCAATTACACTACAAAATACACGACAAACAGTAAATCTAGGTGAGGGCCTCAACAGTCAGTATTTCTAAGTCGTTTGGAGAAGTTGTCGGCAGCTTTTCATATTAGTCTCTTTACCAATAAATTTCTCATTTTTTACTTTTCCAGAAGAGGGAATTTTGTTTGGTACCCAAAAACAATTGTTGCAGAGGAAATTGGCACGACATTCAAATATAATGAGATTTCACTGGCTAATGCATCTCAAGGACATCTTTCGTTGATTGATCTTGCAATCGTGGATGAAGAACAAGAAAGAATGTGAGGTATGGGTAAAAACGTGGGTGAGGGGATGAGGCGTAAGGAGAGAGAAACGTGAGATATATGGATACCTTTAATTAAGGAGTAAAAATTGCCCATTAATTAGATATGGATACCTTTAATTAAGGAGTAAAAATAGCCCATTAATTAGACCCTTAATTAAGCATGGTATAGGATTGGTAATTTGGTATACTAAGTGTAATTTACTCAAACCTTAAACATGTAGGGTAAAAAGGTTTCCTATGTGGTATAGAAATGTAAAAATTCCTATTATATTTGATCTCTAAGTTCGTTCTCGTCACATACAATTATCTTACTAATATACGCGTCTTACACGTACAAAGCACGTATCTTAAAATTAGTCTTAAAAAAAACAAATGAGGCTAAATCTCTATTGAAACCTAATCAATGCTGAAGCTCCAGAGAATTCATCATGTACAATGTTTTTATATCGAATTGTGTGGAATTTGGATCCTCGTGTCACAGAGGCAGGAAAGCATTATACCCGTGCTTTTTTCATTTTTAGCCCGCACTAAAAACTATTTACATTCGGTAGCCGAAAAAATATATAAAATTATATTATTTTTATATATAACATACAGAATGTATATATATACAAAAAATATACATTTTCCCGATTATATTTTGAGAGCAACTATACAGTGTCATTTTCCCTATGATATATAATGAAAAAGAATAACAAAATGAAATAATAGATGTATTATTTTTTCAAGTAGTAACATACCAAATGACCCCTTATGGTTTTGTTCTTTAACCAGCACTCGCTATGGTTATGTTCTTTATTACCAGCATCTGTTAATATATATTAAGTGAAATTCTTTAACTTTTCTTTTTTAAAACTAAAGCTTGTTACCTTCTTTTATAATTCTAAGATGCACAATACTTACTTTCTACTTACAATGGCTTTCATGTAATTTTCGAGTATCTGATTTTTGAAACTTCTTCCGTAGCAATTCTAAATGCACCTTGAAATATGGTGAAGTTCACCAACAAGACATTCAATTTGAGACAAAATGCACTTCGTCCATAGCATCAATGAATTTACAAAATTGCTCTCGCAACATCACTAGCCTCAATGTTATTTATGCCAATCATGTAAAAGCTCTCCGCAACACCGGATCAAGGAAATAAGATTACTCCATATGCATCATCTGTAAGATACCACTTTGATCTGGTAAACATACTTGTGGACCAAACAATAAAAAGAACAAAATCTATTCCTTGGACATCCCACGCCCAAGGTTACTCAAACCTTTATAAGTATGACATCCAGGTGCTGCCAGTAATCCAATATAAAGGGGTACTTCTGTTCCTGTTTTTATTACATTAGTACCAAAAAAAAATTCGAGAAAAGATTCATATCTTATGGTGTGGCATATGAAGGAGCTGGCAAGAAAGGAAATGGAGCAACTGAGGCATACGATACAGGTGGCCGACGTTGACCACCACCTACAGACTGCTTCTTTCTGTTTTCTTGCGACCCTTCTGTACTTTCCAATGAAGATGACATCTCAACAATCTTAATGGAGTTTTCAATGGTCATTTGCTGCTCACTCTCAGTTACACGATGAACTAGAAGCCCAGACATAAATACGGGAAGATAGAGAAGGCTGGCATGGAACATTCTCCTAGCATCTTTGGTTGTACGGTTCAGGTAGAATGATACTGCTGTACAGCTAATAGCCAGAGCAAGAAGTGTCGATTCGAGGCAAAACCACCCAGATGTCAACCCCCCTGCATGCAGATAGTCATAAGAGAAGGAAGTTTAGAGACAGCAGGAAGAGGGAGGTTAGACATTAACAAAGTACAAACGGTATTCACAAACAGAGGGAAGCCACATTGAGCAATTGCCATGAAACCATTAAGTTGCTAGGCAAACCAATCTGGGACCAGATTCATTCCAAGATTTTCTACAACTCAGGTAGCATTTCCATAATGATATTTAAGCAATTTCATATTTATGTACTCCACAGAAACCTAAAAAGTTGTCATTGTACACACTTATTAAAGTCAACTTAAGCCACCTAAAGTTGGACAGAGAGAGGAAAATACTAGTCCACTTACCTTACAAAACTTGGTGGCGCTTCAAGCCATGCCAAGTAACTTTTACACAGACAATAACGGAAAAATGGAAATATTCCTATATAGAAAATTGACTCACAATCATAGGCTAGGTAACCCAATGGTAGTAGATATAGGCAGTTCCTCAAGGCAACAGCGGCTGTCCTCTGACCAGAAGCATCAGCAAGCGAGAACATCTTGAACCTATCCAGAGAATGATAAATGACAAGTCCAGGAAGAATCTCAGGGGCCAACTTAGAAGAAATATATAGAACATTAAGAGAAAAAAAGGACGCTACATGATGTCAAGCAGCTTTTATTGCAAGCATCATCAACAAATATTCAAGCTCCCCCACCCCCAACCACAATAAGCCTCTGGTAGCCCAAGATTTTTATTCGTCGTTTATTACATGAAGACTAAAGCTCGAGGACCTCTTTAGAGATAGCACATGCGGGACAATTCTCGGCGTCTAGATGCATATGACCATTAATTGAAACAATATGGCTACTTTCACCACGCAACAGCCTTGACTTTGGAGATCATTACATATTACATAATCAGTACTTACCCTCCATCAGCATAATCTTTACGGCACAAGTACGCTAGGGCCATGAAATGAGGTATTTGCCAAAAGTACAGAGCTGCTGGGAGGAGCAATCCATTCAGAGACACTTGACCAGAAGCTGCGGCCCACCTATACAAGGAGAGAAAACCTTTCAGTATGGGCTCATCAGCTGTAGACCCACAGCAATTGCAAAAATACCAGAAAACACAAGCTAAAACATAGTTATATCCAGGTACTTGCTGTAAGTGGTACTCTATTAACATTTCCGTAGTAACAAATGCAATTTATAACATAAATATGCAATTCAGCTGGATAATATTTCATCCTTTCTGCAACTAAATAAGAAACTTCCCATGCATCGGGTCTAAAAATAATCATAATCCATGAAGAGAGTTGCACTCTGAAGGTGGAATTGCTATTTTACTATGCAGAATAGCTACATAACAAAATTAAGTAATGCATCACTCTGAGGAGCGCAATGACGCATACACAAAGAAAATATAGATCTGAAGCATGCCAAAACGATCAGTCTAGTAAATTACCTGCATAGTACAGCATGCCAAAATATGCCTATCAATGAACATTCTCAAACCAACAATTAATTCATGAACTTGTAAGAAAAAAACAAAAAAGAATGATAAAAGATCATGTCTCCTTTATGTGCAGGTACATAGACACATAATTTCGGTGGGACCGATATTGGTAAGGCAGAAAGCCTAAAGAGTGTATAACAAGACAATTACCCAAGCAGCGGTGGGATAGCACCAACAATTGCACCGACCCATGTATTTATTGGATGTATCTGCTTTAGTGGTGTGTATACAAACGCATACAGCACAAGATTAGAAGCCCCAAGGCCAGCTGCCAACATATTAGCCTGTAGAAACCTTGTCATAGAAATTGCAACATCAATCCCTCAATCAATAATTTATGTCAACGGAAAGAAAGACAGTCTATCTAATTGTAATATATATATATATTGTCAGACTAGTTGCAGAGGCTATCCGCCCACCTTGCTAGCCAGTAGAGCAGTGCCCACTATCCCAGAAGATGCTGCCCATGTTACTGCATGAGGTATACTAATCCGTCCTGACGGCAATGGTCTTCTCTTAGTTCTGTTCATCTTAGCATCATTTTTTACCTCAAACACCTAAGACCAAACAATACAACAATTAATCACTGACGTTTCACTGCTTAAAAAATGCACGAAAAGCATATGCTGCATCAACAGTCACTGATGGATACAATCTTATATCCTTCAATTGTTTCTCAAAGAAAAACGTTAAGGGAAAAGGCACAAATTTCTTGACAGCCCACCGGGGATTTACCCACTTTATCGGGAGGGCTTCAATTCTCATTTAGGTGGCCATTTAGTTGTCAGCAAGATTGCAGCATTATACCTGATTTAACGTGTTAGCCGATGCCGCCACCATCATTGTGCCAGCACATGTGCAGCAAAGTCCCATGTAGTCAATGGCACTACCACTCCCAAGGACATACCCAGCGCCGGAGGTTGCAACAACTAGCATACTGAAATAAGTGTAATTAGAGAAAAATGAAGCAGCAAAAATATACAGTGGTGACATATTGAGTAGCTCATTTACCAACATTCTGGAAAGAAAAGACTGGAACAATCAGAACAAGCAATAGAATCAATAAAGAATATAGAAGCTCTTCAACTGAGTGAAAAGCCAAGGAATAATATGATTAGAAATTTGGAATGGTTGAGAGCACTCTTTTTTCTCCCACTAAAGGAAATCCATATTAGACCACTGAAAAATGAGGAATGGAGCTGGAAAACAAGAAAAACCAGTGTCTTGTCTTCTTTTGCTGCTTCTTGGTCTGGATCTTAATTTGCTTAAGCTTCTAATTTATACTACTAAAACACTAACGTAACTAACTTCATTCTATGAAAAAGTTGATTCTCATGTCCTTTAGAACCAGCTTGACAAGCTAAGACTAATCTCAAGCTAACTTTTTGGCCCACAATCTCCTACTTCTATTTTTTTTTATTGTGTGTTTTTTTACAGAAGATAAGAAGCTTGTATCTTGAAAAGGAACTTATTTTTTTGTTGGTGTGTGTTTCACCTAATTTTTTTATGAAGTAAATTGCATTAGAGAAGGCATTAATAAGATGCAGAATTACATCAACAACAACAACAACATACCCAGTAAAATCCCACTAGTGGGGTCTGGGGAGAGTATAGTGTATGCAGACCTTACCCCTACCCCGAAAGGGTAGAGAGGCTATTTCCGGGAGACTCTCGGCTCAACAGAATTACTTCATTTCTTGCAATTTAAATCTAAAATGAACAGGAAAATCCATTAAAATTGGATACGAATTGAGTCTTTAATGATTTCTTGTAGTTAGCTGCTAGCCTCTTCTTTTGCTTCTCACTTTCGGACCCCTATAATATGTTTTAACTTTTAAGGCTCTAAATGAGTAAATGGACCTAGCATCACCAGGAAAATCATTAAAACGGCCATAAAAACCAAAGTGTTCTATTGAAAGGTAACCCTTTAGGGAAACAATAGAGGCTTAGAGTACTTTATAGACAACATCCAACTGTCCAAGTGTATCAGTCAAATACAGTACAACATATACAGTCAACCTCGAACACATGTGCTACTCCCATTTAGTCACATTTTGACAAGACTGCCTTACCTTCTAAAACCGTTTGTCCTTCATTATTATATTGCTATAGTTCATGTATATCATTCAAACATTCATGAATTACTCAGCTAAGTTGCCAGAGTCTTGGATCTTCACCCCACAAAATTTTGATTATCTGCAGCAGCCAACTATCATGGGAATTTATTCTACACATTGGTACCCATGCCTCACAACCACCACAAGAGAAAGAAATAAAGGGCAGAAAAACACACAAGACATCAACCAAATACCCTCCCTCCTTCCACCCCTCTATCTAAAAAAAATAAGCCAAGGATAGTAAGATATAAAATTCGGAATGGTTGACAGCGCACAGTTTTCTCCTGCTAAAGGAATTTCATATCAGAACATTGAAAAATGAGGAATGGAGCCGAAAGCACAAGAAAATAGTAATTAGTCTTCTTTTTCTGCTTCTCAATTTGGATTTAATCCGCCTTAAAATTGTAATTTGTAAATTTGTACTACTTCTAAACACTAATCCCTTGAAGTAACAAACTTGGTTTAATGAAAAAAATGATTTCTTTTGTGTTATCAAAAGAAGCATAAACAATCTAAGAGTAAATTGGTATGTCCACTACACTCCAGAGTCCAGCCTCTCACTTTTTGACCCACTATCTCCTACTTTTTTTCTTAGCCTACTTTTTTATTATCATTTCACCTAGAGTTCCCAACACAAAATCTAACATGAAAAGGAAAACCAATTTACACTAATCGCGTGCATGTCAACCAATCCACTGGGCGACCTACTATAACCCACAACCTACCAAAACTGGGGCAAATGGGCTCACACTGAGAGCATTGTAGCAGGATCAATATCCTTCGTGATATCTACAAGATGACCTAAAGTTCATTCCTGTAAGCACAACTAAACAGGCCCTAACGTCCCAATAACTCTACGAAGCCAGTTGATACATAAGTTAATTCACATACTCCAATAATTGGATTCAGCAAGTTATTAGGCAAATACTAAACAGCAGTTGCAGTACCATTACAGAAACAATCAACTACATCATCCGGTCCAAATAATTCCAACAGTACTTTGAATAAGGATTCACACAGCAAAAAGGGGCAAACCTTAAGCGAGCTTTAGAAAGCTCCCAATAACAGCGCCCATAGTGCTTAGCAAAATCCACAACATCCCTAGATTTCAAAACTGATGCAGCAGCCGCAAAAGATGAAAGATCCACAGCTGAAGAACCCGGAGATCCGGACGAAAACCCCAACTTTACTGAACCGGCAGCTTCAGTTGACTCCGGACCGGAGCCGGCGGCTGTAGAAGTGGATCGGGTAACAGCGCCATGATGAAGTAAAGGAAGACGAAGAGAGGAGGAGGATTTGGAGGCGGCTAGGAGCTTCGAAGAGAAACCCACCGTGTTTCTCCACATGGCCGAGTCTGAGTTAGGGCGAGTTGAGAGAATGTTTCGAATTTGATCTGTGGGATTTTGGACGATATTGTTAATGCCGTGTTATGAGTTTCTATTTTAGTCCTTGAAATTTTAGAAAATTGTGTAATTGATATGCCAAAAGTTTATGAAACCGGCAGATGATAATTATGAGAAAAGTAAAAAAATAAAATAAAATAAAATAAAAAGGATTGTATCAAAATTTTATGCTGGGATATATTGTCAATTTTATACTGAGCTTTTGGAAATTGATATTTTTAGATAGAAAAATATCATCTACAGTAATTCTTTCCGCTCTCTCGCATCAATCATTCAATTGTATGTGGAGATTTCTCTTTGAGCATCACAAATATTCAAACCATGTCATGTTTGGAGTATTTTGTATAAATTCACACCACTTATATTTTTAGTATATTTGTGGAGTTAAGTGACGCTTATATTTTAAAATAGTTCACCAAACACTATTTTTGTTTTGAAATTCTGAAAATTATACAAACTATATATATTTTTCCGGCATTTACGTATAGTTATCGGCATTACGATTATTGTATTAAAAAAAGATAAAATTAGATCGATCCTCGAGTGCAAAATTCTCTTTAGAAACAGATATGCGCAAGAAAAGTGGGGTATACCCAAGATTCAAATGAGTGTTAGAGATTTGGATCACAAAATTACGATATTCACAAAGCTCCTCATTTAAATTGGAAAAGAAACTTTGCTACCATCGTGGATAGTGCTAAATCCACACCCTTTTTTTTTTCTTTCAGTCAAAGGTATAGTACCAGAATGTTGATTTCCAGAGGTAAATTAGAAATAGTTGACTGGATTAAGTCAACTTAAACTCTCAAAGCACATAAATTATCCAGCAAATTGCGTCTTGTCTATGGCCGCAGTGTCACCAATGTAGGCGGGAAAAACAAAAAATAGCACGTTTATTTTCAAGATTATGCTGAAAATGTTATTGTTTGCCAAATGGTTTCTGAGTGCCTTCTCCCTTTATATCTTTTGATTTTGGTAAGACCAATTATGTTTGTACACTTCACCAACTCTTTCATCAAGTGGCTCCATATTTCTCTACAGCTGCTTTTGGTCAGATAAAGTAGACTATATATCCATATAAAGAGAGTTAACATTTTCTAGAATATATATATATATATATATATATATATAAGTCTTTAGGTGTCACAAAAGAAAATTTTGTACTGTGGTACAAGACTATCGACTTATATCATGGATTTGCCTTTTGATTTTAATAGATCATGTGAATAAGTCCTATCCTATCTTAACATGAGGCATGGGGATCTATATAATAATTCAGAGAAAATAAAGAATTAGAAAGTTAGACAAAACAAAAAGGGAACAATAATCCCAAATTTCATTATTCAGCTTAATTGAATAAATTTCATAGTCAATTTTTCTAGGTTTTAGAAGACTTTTTTTATTACTACAAGACAATCTGCATAACTTTTAACATACTAAGAGAAAGTTCAAGTCCCACCAGAGTATTTTGCTAGCTGATGATAAATAGAATAAAATATGGTGATCGAAGAATTATGAGAAGTTCTAAAACTCCTACTGCATAATTTTTTTTATGTATTATGATACTCACTTGCAAGCCTATAGGGATAAGAGAAAAGGCATAGCTCCTTATGTAGGGGCTCAACTAGTATTCATCTGTAATTTCTTGTAATGCTTGGATATATGTCCTTGTGGCAACAGGGTGAGAGAAATTCTTTAGAACTCAAAGCTCAAATGGTTCTTAGCTATGTATGCAATGAGTTACATTAAGATCTCATGCATATAATATTGCGTTGTGCAAGGCAATGTTATCTAATGAATGTATTAACAGTGGAAGAAACACATACACGTCCCTTTTTTGGTAGTTGAGCTTAGGTCGATGAGATAAAACTACAAGTAATTTATTGCTATCTTTTGCTCGGTATGCAGACTCTAAACATTATGTATGTTCACTTTGTTGCATGCAAAAGAAAGCACACTAATGCTATATAACAAGAATTAAAGGACATGAGGAATCTAGAGACAAGTTCCAAAGTCAGCATGATGAATCGGCCTCCAGAGTTGAATCAGCAAAATTAGAACAAAATTTTAGCCGAGTAAATACATTGTTTTGTCAAAAAAGTTTTAAAAGGAAATGTTGAAAATAGATAACACAGAGCAAAACCAAAATCCAGATTCACATTGTGATGGTAGGCTATAATCTCGTGTTTTAGTCGTTTATTGCACCCTAATTTACTGCACTTTAATTGTATTTGAGCTTTAATCACTAGTGTTTTGTACTTATTATGTATTTTATACCTTGTAGGAGTGATTCCGAGTGATGTAGATGTTATGGAGCTAATTCGAGCTTTGAAGTACGAGTAAAAGCCTAAGGAGATAAACCGGGAACGTGTTCGGAGGTCGAGGACCAAGCCTGGACATCAAATATCAAAGTTTGAACCGTACTATGAGAAAATCCCACAGCCGCGGCGCGTGAGGCGCCGCGACTGTACAAGCTCTGCTACTTGACAGAAGTTGAGCTCTCTGGATTTCCCCATTAATGCCTCGCATGGCGTGTCACTCCATGTGGCGCGCCTGTGCAAATTTTACAGAGCCATTGTCCTATTTCGGGCCAGAGAAGGTGGTTTCATCTGGGACCGACCCTACTTGATATAAATACATGGAAACACATTATTTTCTAGACTTTTGACATACTTTAGACGTAAGGAAGCTAAAGAGGAGTTAAAGGAGCCAAAACACAAGGATTTCATCATTCCTTCCTCACTCAAGACCCGAGTTTGGATTGAATTTATATTTTCCTATACTTTTATTATATTTATGATAAATTACTCCATGTCTATGGAGTAGTACTCTTTGGTGTTTGATGGATTTGGTGTATTGATATTTGTTTGAGGATTATAACTCTAGTTTTATGTATTGAAGTGTTTTTGGATGATTTAATCGTTGCATTTGTTGTCACTTGTTCATGTAATCGAGAGAGGCATAACTTGTGATATATCTGCATTATTTTGTTGGTTGAATTCACTAATTCTTCTTAGTAATCAAATGAGGCTAGTTAAATCATTGATTAAACCTAGTTAGGAGGATAATCGAGAGAGGTTCTCCTAAAGATCAATCCACTACGCATTCTTGCATATCTTCATAGAGCTTAAATTGGTTCATCTCGTGAGGTTGAGGCTTAATCGAGAGAGGAATTTCTACTAAACAATTAAACTGATAATTAAGTGAATTCGGGAGACTCTCTTGAATATTAGAAGTGAATTAACTAGTGTTAAATCCCAGACAATTATCTTGCACCTACTATCTTCTCCCATTGATATCTTTCTTTGCTTATTTCTTGCTTTGATTGCCATTAGTCAATAGCTTTAGATTCTTAGTTAATTTTAGTATTAATCATATAAATCTAAACTGTTGATCATCTTGGATAGCAATCAAGCTAGAAACTACAAGAATACTATTTAAATTCAATCCTTGTGAATACTATATTATACTATACTATATTTGATTAGCGAGCATAATTTTTAGTGGTGTTTTGCACTCGTCAAATTTTGGCATCATTGCCAGGGATTGGCGACCAATAGTCTTTGAAAGAGTTTGTAGTTCTAATTCAGGAATTTTTCTTTTTATTTTACTTTTCTCTTTTTACGTTTGGAGTTCTTTAACTGTGTGTTGGCCTCAGGTTAAGAGTGGTGCATGACTCGAGTTTTTGGGAAGGAAGTGTTACCATACAAGTCAGAAATTGAAAAACAACTGCGACAACTGAGGAAGGAAAGAAATCTCACCGAGACGTTAGAAAATGTTAGGCAATCCTCAACTAAAGAAACTATGGCTGGAGACGATGATGATAATGTAGATTTGGCTGCAAGAGAGGTAGCCCAACAACGAGAAAGAGCTGCACGTGATGCTGAAGAAGCAGCTATTAGAGATGCACAGTTTATCTATGAAGAAGAGAGGGCTCGGAGAATTGCTCAGAATCAACCCTTGGCTGCAGATCACTTTGGAAATATAGCTCCCGGGCCTACGAGATCACTTGGCAATTATGCTAGACCGGTTTACAACCAAGGATTATCAAGTGTTAGACCACCTCCAATTGCAGCTAACAATTTTGAGTTAAAGCAAGGGTTGCTTCAAACCCTTCAGAACTGCTGTGTCTTCTGAGGAAAGATGAACAAAGATCCAAATACACATCTAATGGACTTCGAGGAGATTATGAACACCTTTCAATACTACAGGGTGTCACAAGATGCAATGTACTTAAGAGCATTCCCCTTCACACTCAAAGTTGATGCAAAGGAGTGGCTTCGAAGCTTCCCCACGGGATCAATTAGAACATGAGATGAGATGACCAAAAGATTTCTTGATAAATATTTCTCATCAGCTAAGACGGGCAAGTTTATAAAAGAAATCCATAACTTCTGCCAAAAAGAGACTGAAACTGTGTTTGAAGCTTGGGAGAGGTTTAAGGAGATAGTCAGAAAGTGCCAACATAGCAGAATTGAACTCTGGATGCAACTCCAGGACTTTTGGGATGGATTGACACCGGCCTCATGTAGAACATTGAGCAATGCAGCTGGAGGCTCGTTGATGAAGAAGACTCCACAGGAGATAGTTACAATTCTTGATGAGTTGTCTAAAGATGCAAATCAGTGGCCCTCTGAGAGTGCTGAAAGAAGAAAATCAACTGGTGTTCACCAAGTTGATGCTAATACATTTCCGCAGGTACAGCTTGATGCTATGGCTAAAAAAATAAGGAAGCTGACCTTGACTACAATACAAAGTGAGCCTCATGCAACGTGTGATATATGTGGAAGAGAACATCCTACTTATGAGTGTCAAGCCTCAACTGAGGAAGTGGATGCTATGGGGAATTACAACTTTAATGTAATGGCTCAGAAGCACCCCGATTTTTCATGGAGTTCACCTGGGGGTACCGCAAATGTAGGGCAATAAAACAACCCCAAATTTCAGGGACAAGGAGCTCAAGGTTTTATGAATTAGCAGAGGTAGCAGTTTTAGCCTCAACAGCCCAATCAGCCTAATCAGTCTAGCATAGAAGATCTAGTGAAGGGTTTCATTATCAAGACAGATGAGAGGTTGGACGCTCATGGAGCAGCTATCAAGGAACTGGTCACATTTTTTCAAAACCTAGAAAGATAGGTTGGGCAAATTGCAACAATATTATCTGAAAGGGTTCCAGGAACTCTCCTTGCTGATACTAAGAGAAATCCTAAAGAAACAGTAAGTGCTTTAACCTTGAGAAGTGGGCAAGTGTTGAAAGATCTCACTCCGATCCAAAAGATGTGATACCTGAAAAAGAAAGTGGGGAGCAGCTGAAAAGTGATGGTAATAAGAAGAAGAAAGGTCAGACAAAAGTCGAGAAAAAGAAGAAGGGAGAAACTTCGAGAAGGGAGGAACATGATGAGGGCGAGCATATGCCTGCTTTACCCTTTCCTCAAAAGCTATATAGAGAAAAGCCGGACAAGCAGTTTGAGAGATTTTTGGATGTGCTGAAACAGGTTCATGTAATTTATCATTCATAGAAGTGCTCTGACAAATGCCAGCTTATGCCAAATTCTTGAAGGAGATCCTGACAAAGAAGAGGAAGATAGAAGAACCCTCAGTGGTCAAGCTCACAGAGCATTGCAGTGCGATATTTCTAAATAAACTCCCGCAAAAGTGTGGAGATCCAGGGAGTTTTACTAGGCTCTATTACTTTTGATTAGTCTATGTGATTCTAGTGCCTCAATTAACTTAATGCATCTGTCTATTTACAGGAAACTGGAGAAGGAGATCGGAGAGATAAGGTCTACACCAATATCATTGCAGTTGGTTGACCAAACGACTCTGATACCCGAGGGGATAGTGGAAGATATCTTAGTTCGGGTGGATAAGTTCGTATTTCCTGTAGATTTTATAGTGGTGAAGATGGGGAGAACAAGGAGGTCCCCCTCATCCTAGGAAGACCATTCTTACCAACGGGCAAAGTTATCTTAGATATACAAAAGAAAAAGAAAACTCATGCTTAGAGTGGGTGAAGAAACTGTAACTTTTGAAATGGATGTAGAAAAGACGGCACAAAAGGAAAAATCAGCTCCAGGTGGTGAGTGGAAAGTGAAGGGCTTAAAAGAGAAGGCTGCGATGAGTGAGAAAGATAATTGTGGGGTGTACCCTAAGAAGGCGGAGAAGAAGTTGTCTGCATGGATGTGTGCATTAGTTCAGGCGCGAGGAATGGAGCCCAATTTTGACTCAGACCCCGACTAGATGTTCAGGGAAGTTTCCTTTATCTTATGCTTTTTAATTGTGTGTCATGGGGACATGCCACAACTTAAAGTGTGGGGTGGGGGATATGTTGTATGTATATATGTATATTAGTTTTAGTTTTGCTTTTGTTAGTTTTAGTCGTTAGAGATAGAAAAAGAAATTGAAAAAAAAGCATAAAAATTTAAATTTTTTTGATTTTTCCCGATGATGGATATCATCGACAGGTTTCTTGAGTGAGTAAAGCCGAAGGAAAAACAAAGACAAAAATATTTTCTTTTGTAGGCAGTGTACTAATTCCTCCTTGGTTTTTCTTTGGGCCGCGGTTCTTTTCTAAAGGTTTTGTTTAAACCAGGTGTATTTAGTTTTTATCTTTGTTAGGAGTAGGAAACCTTGTGCTATCATTTGAATTGGAAGCAATATCTCTTGACTTCGCTATACCTTCACAGACACTCTTCGGTATAATGGCCATAACATTTTGTACAAAATTCTAAATGATAAACTGCTTGATTTTTTGAAAACTAGATTCAAAGGTTTCATATTTGGATCATCTTGAAATTCCTTATAGATTGCAAGATATGAGCTCCTGAAGTCAGACGACTGTTAGCAGAAATTCCTTCTACGCGATCGTGACCCTTCCTTCCGCGATTGCGATTCACAAAGCCTGGATCGCACTTTACTATTCGCGATTGCGGCCCAGACCTCCGCAATAGCATAGCACACCTCCAACACCAGTTATCAGCAATTCCAAAAGGCCTAAAAGTGGTTCGAAACCACCCCAAATCTCACCCGAGGTCCGAGGAACCCCGTTTAATCATTCTAACAAGTTTATATACCCTATGTAAACTTGTCCGAAGGCTCAGAACATAAATTACAACATCGAAACCAAGAATTAAGGATCAAACTCGATTTCTTAAACTCTCTTAACTTTCAAACATTCATCCTTCGGCTAACGCGTCCGAATCACACGTAAACATTTCAGAATGACGCCAAATTTTGCGTTCAAGTCACAAATCAAATACGAACCTATCCCAAGGCCCGGAATCCCAAACGGACATCAATAACACCAAAGTCTACTTCAACTCGAACTTAGGAAATCCTAAAACCTTCAAAATGCCAGCTTTCCACAATCAACGCCGAAATGCTCCCGGACCATCCGATACTTAACCCGAACATACGCCCAAGTCCAAAATCATTATACGAACCTTAACCTTCAAATATCGATTCCGAGGTTGTTTACTCAAAAGTCAAACCTTGGTCAACTCTTTCAACTTAAAACTTCCAAATTGAGAATTTTCCTTCCAAATCAACTCCGAACTCCCCGAAATTCAAATCTGACTATACGTACAAGTCATAGTACATGAAGCGAAGCTATCAAGGCCTCAAACAGCCGAACAACACGCTAGAGCTCAAAACAACCGGTCGAGTCGTTACATTCTCCCTCATTTAAACATATGTTCGTCCTCGAACATGCTAAGAACCATTTCGGAGTTGTCCAAAATTACTCTTTGACACCTTGTGCAGCTACCCATGGCACTACAACCCATGTGAGCACATTAGCTCGAGCCAGACTGAAGATCCTCCCTTTTACCTTATCTAACAAGCCTTAGAACCAAATTCCAACATCCAAAATTCTCCACGAGACCTGATTCCAACATGTGAACACCGTAACAATCTCATCCCACTATACCAAATAGTATCCTACACCCATGCTGAGATCATACAATGCACCGCACAATTCATATATTCATGATAACACCCCCCGACTACAATAGCTGCAGATTCACAAACCAGATGCCCGTAGTATACCTCATAATGCGTATAAGACTTGATCTAATCGTAGCAATACTGCAACAATAAAAGTGATACGTAGAATCTCATAACCACCTACCAAATCAATAATTCCTGGAGTCTCTCCGCTTGACAAGAACCATTTCCTCATTCTGAACTACTTACTGACATTTTCCTCCTGATATACATTATACAAGTCCGATTGCACCGATTTCAAGTCCAGCATCCTCGTCTCACCCAGTACAAGGTGCCCGGGCAATAAGCCACCTCAAAAACCGTCAAAAATCTCATACGATGCCACCAATGCGCCAAAAAGCTACAACTCAAATAAGACCCATAAGGAAGAATGAACTCTGGCAAAGAACTATCCAGCCCGCGTAACGAATAAAATGGCCAAACAGATGTTATGAACCTACCTTAGAGAATGAGAAGCAAGGCACACAAGTAAGTATAAGGGACCGTACTCAACATCTCACTGTTGCGGAGTGCAACCCGATCCACATAAGACACTGTTACGGTGTGCAACCCGATCCAAACCTGACACTGTTGCAGCGTGCAACCCGATCCAAACAACATACCCGTGGAGGAATACCACCCGATCTAAACAATATGCCATCGGCAGCGTGCCACTCGATCCACACATAATAATCAATAAGGAAACACCTATCAAGCTGAAATGCTTATACTTACGAAATGCCCGAATATCGATCGCAAGCATGCCAAGTGCATTATACAACATTGGGGACACAGATAGTGCCATACGCTACAAAAACCCAATCACGACTAAGGTGCAATAAATGTCCTGCATCTCGAGAGCTATATAGCTCATATAACACTCACAAGCTACACGGGATCACAACACATGTGCGAATAATCAAGCCGTCTCACAACCCACCTAGCACAATAGAGTATTACATGAAATAGCTGATGATGGGAATAACATCCAACGCTCGAAGACTCCTCCGTAAGCAATACTATGCCGAATGAACATGTCCGACCTGACGTAGAGCACACATTCACATTAGACCCACCAACGGACCTCAAGCCAATTCTGATCATACCATACTGGGCAAACAACCTTTCAAGGATCCATAATGGCCCTATTCACGACATACACGAACAGCCGTCCAATCCAGAACAAACTCCCACAGTTCACAACCAAAGGAATAGAGCGCCTTTCAGGTATAAGCTCTCACATAAGCGATAGTACCAGAATCTCTATACTTGGTTTCAATCCTTAACAATCAAGTGACTAACATGTCACACTCATACAATTTCCCGTGGGATACGCTCCCACGACCTTCCGTACCAGGTAGCAAGTTTGTACCTCTATACCACCAACCATACTAATTTTGTAAAGCAAATCATGAATCTGCAAACCAATATACAATGCCTCTTCCACAGAACACCATTCTCTGGCGACACTAAGATAATGCCAACTTACTCAAAACATATGAATTCTTCCCTGCCCATATGATCTCGTGACATTCTTATCAACACCAAGCCGCAAACTTGATCCTCAACTTCCAATTCCCATGCCACTCACTACACCTATCATGCTGCTATGCGAGAGAACAAGAATTCATCATAACCCCTGAACTACTAGTAGAATAAACGCTTCATTGGCTAGAAAACTTTCACTTAACTCATTTTAGAAGAACCATTGCAACACGCAACTGAATTCCCACGACCATAGAAAATACAAACCCCAAGTCGTGGTCTAAACCGCCATAACTCTTCCGGGATCCATTTACACAACAAGGCCATATGAATCGAATACCTCCCAAATCAAGTAAATTATGGTGGATGTCAAGCACGTACGTACAACCACAAACCACCTGTATAACTTAAAATGCTGAAGGAACTGATCATTGCCACAATCATGCTGATTCAAACCATTACTAACCGACCCAAGTTCCTCCAATTTACTCTTGACTTGCCTTAGAAGTAATAATAGATCCATTCAAATCATAACGAAACCCAACAACACTCATCCCGAGCGACCCAATTCACGAGACCACATCGTCTCAATACCCATGAACCATCTCATACCCTACTTATGCGCATAATAGCATGCCCAACTGGTACACCCATTCTGAAAGATCCTCTAGACACTGTACTTTAATTTTGGAACCTACTAGAACCATTATTGAGAGTCACCTACTCTGACCTGGTCCCGAATATAATCTAACTCCAATGCTCTATTAGCTCATGAACACTCCCAAAGAAGCAACCAGATAAATTCTTTTCCTTGTACATCACATCCACAAGAATCATAAACTCTGAGTCTTCTCATAACCTGCACATGAATCGATAAGGCGAAATATAACACACACCCATCAAGTTCTTTGCTCGAGTTACCCTTGGTGTTTTCTTTTCTTAGCCATAAATAATCCACCAATGCACCGATAACCAAAAAATGCACAAGCAGATAACCACGCGATCCAATCGTAGGCGATAGGCTCCCCCTCTTAGCTCATCACATAATGTAGAACCCGCAAAGATTCTTCCTTTTCAATTACAATGATCTCACACCATCAACTCGCCAAATTTCTCGTAGTCCCTTGTTAAGCTTTTTATGAACATTCCGAATTATCAGCCACAAACGCATATTCGACCTTCTGCCGGGTAGTAAGTAGAACTCTTCGTAGAAACTTCATCAAAATCACGCAACCGCTAACCTGCTTACAAGAGATAACCCACTTGTGGAATTCCACATCGATATCTTCCAACAACGCTGCACTGGGTACAACTACTACGAAATCAGTAAACCCTCTTGAGACCATGCTCGTCCACCGTCTGTACAAGTCTATTCATTCCCCATTGACATCAACTGAAAGTCCGACAATACATTCCAAACTCAAAGTCATGTCGTATCCCATAACTGTAATCAAGCTCTTACACCCCTAAACACTCCAAGAAAACTTCCTTCCATCATATTTAACCTACCTCAACACAGTAGCCACTATTCCAAATAAAATCCGTAGACCTTGTCACTGTCCACCATGATCCCCAAATGGCTCTAAATTTTTCTCAAGGCATGTGGCTATCCTACCACAGAATCCATATGCTACTCTGCCACTCCCACTTCGGTTAAACCATCTCCTTCAAGCAACTTCTCGACCTCTGCTTTTCATATTTGACCTGCTAGCAATTCAACCACCGCGAGACACCTCCCACTATGTCCTTCCTCATCCTTTTCCTACCCAAAT